GATATGAGCTATAGTCTAACTCGTAGTATCCCCCTTAATAATCACTATAATGCTCCCCTGTATAATCCCCTTCGAGGAGTTTAGACTATAGCTCATATAGACATACATACATTCTTGGTTATAGGTCTGTTTCAAATTAATAAGGGACTGTTGGTAACCCCGGTCTCCGCAAGAAAATGGACTCTAGAAGAGTCCGGTGAAAGTCAACTGGTCCTAATTCGGTGGGATTTAGGGTTTAGGGGTTAGGGTTTAGAGTTCAGGGGTTGGGGTAGCCAGAATTCCTGCATCATTATTGGGAGCTCAGGGTTGAGGGTTCAGAGTGCGCAAGGTGGCTGGGTGTTACATGTTTCGGTTTTACTGTCTCCCGTAGCCTTTCGTCTAGAATCACGAAATCGTGCTTGATTTCTCACTCCCACCACACCCTCCACTCCATTAACAGACGGTTTTGTGAAGAGCCAACCCACAGTATGGACTGTATGATTATCAACAGACTCTTAGAGGGACCCTATTACAGGGTTGGGGTTCCCAAGCTCCTCTAGTTACTTTAGGGTTTAGGGTTAACTACTGGCGTTCCAAAGGCAAAGGTGGGCGACTGTTTCTTGTGACAGTAGATGTACATACATTGCGTTAGATCCTGCCGTAAACAAGCCTCACTGCCCTGTCCCCTCGCGAAACTATTCTAGATCTTCTCCTAAGTATATAGATCAGAGTGGACCCTGACACTAAACAAAACCTAAACCCTAAACCAAAGCGCTAAACCCTAAATCCCAAGTTTTGGGAACCCCTCCCTAAACCGCAAACCCTAAACCCAAAGCCCTAAATACTAAACCTTAGGTGGACCCCCCACCCAGTAATAGTGACTATAGGGGATAATAGGGATTATGTTAGGGTCCTCTTATATTCCCATTATACCACTATTACAGGGTGGGGGGTCCTCCTAAACTAAAACCCAAATTTTGGGAACCCCTCATCTGGGTCAGGTGGAGCACAATTTGGACGACTCCGAGGTCTAGTGACTTTTGCAGTAGTGTAGGGTTTACTCCAGAAGCAAGCAGTGGTTTTAGGGCTTGTTCCTTGGGGCTTCGGGCTTGGGATTTCAGGATTTAGTGTAGGGTTTAGGGTTCTGGTGTATTGGTTGCTTGCTGCGGTGACCTGAGCCATACACCTCAAATCCAAGAGTACAGCAAGACATGTGATAGGTGCTAAGTATGCCCAAGAAACTTGGATATGCTCTGGCTCCTCGACAGGTACCCCGAACATGGAGGTGCCGCCTCCCAGGCAGAATTCTAAGCAGGCTCTCAGGAACCCAAAAGAAGGATGGAGAAGCTCCACCCTAAACCCTAAACCTTACTTCGAGTCCAACTTTCTCAAGGCATAGCCTACTTGTTACCAAGGAAGTGGAAGGTCGTTGCCATGGTAGGACACCCTCATCTTCGACATGCTTGAACTTCTTGACCGGTAACCCTGTTATTTCTTGCAGCGGCTGACTGAGTCTACCGGGACTTTGCGTAGTTTGGACCCTACATGCTAGTTTCCATAGTTAGGGGAACAAGAAGATGGACCCTCAGATATTCTCATCCTTAGTATGGGGACCCTCTGAAACCCTAAACCTTCATCCCTAAATCC